CAAACGTGTCCTCATGGTACATACGGCTACCGCTGTGCACAGCAATGCTTGAATTGCATGAACGGGGCTACATGTGATCACGTGACCGGCATTTGTGTATGCAAGCCTGGTTATATAGGAGACAGGTAAGGAACTGCTGATTTTTATGAGATATTTCAAAATATACTAAGGCGTTTAATGTGCATCACTTAACTCCAAAGAAATCAATTTACGAAGAAAAGTTGATCGAGACTCGTCTTGTGGGTAAGAGCTAACAATACAAACGTTTCTTTTCTCTCTTTCCAGGTGTCAAGATACTTGCCAAGGAGGGACGTATGGACTCAAATGTTTAAAGAAATGCGCATGTCAGAATAATGCAACCTGTTCACCTATCGATGGCTTCTGCAACTGTACCTCGGGGTTTACCGGCGTTCATTGCGAKGAAACACAATGTATTATTCCATAACAATTCATTTGATTGATGCTGCCATTCAACTATATAGTTGTGCTTTTTATTCAAATTTGTTAGATATGAAACTTAACATTGAATTTGCATTTCAACAGCTGTCGACACGACAATTCAAACCAAAGATGAACAGTTGCTTTTCATCATCATCAGTKCTGGTGCTGTTTTCTTTGTAATAGTGACAGCAACTGCAGTAGGATGTTTTATAAGACACAAACGATCGAAACGCAAGCCAGAGAAAGACGAAACCGCTGACAATCCACAGTCCACAGAGAGCAATGAAGAGCAACATTATCAGTCTCCTTCCTCTATACCACTGACCACTCTTCCCAGTGATGCCATACACTCAAAGTGTTATGTAGATAACAATGTTTACGACAYTCCTACTGTCGTCCGTCCACAAAAATGCACAGCGGTTGATGACACGGATGACCATTACATGACACTTCACAACTCTGCAAATAAGACGATTTACGAGCCGCTGTCAGCAGTTACACGAAGCAAGACTGGGTTTCCTGYAKYTGAACATGGAAGAGGAATGGAATCTAGTGAGAATGTTTATGAGCCACTTCGYATTTCCTCRTCCCAACCCCGYTCACAGAGAAAGRGAAAATMAAAAWAATACGAGTGTGCTGAAGCTGTGTGATGCATTGTTTCTTGTAAATGTTTAATGAGTTTAATGCCTGTGGGCCGAGTATTGYAATGAAYGCTTMATTGTCAAATGAAACATTCATTSGTTTTCTTTGACATTGATTGCATATGTTTGTAAACTGTCATAAACACAGGGATCCCATGATAATATTTTAGTGAGGTAAATTCTCAAATAAAGAATCATTTTTCAGTCTAAACAAGAAGCAGATTTTTAATCACTGATGATTACACAGCTCTTGGAAAGTCTTTCAGTACTGAATAATAAATCCGTATGTTCGTTCGCAGTCGGTAGTCGCTAAAGTCGCCGGATATTTGTTGGTCGGCTCGTTGCTTTTCGGTTCAATCAGGACCCTTGTAGTGCCAACAAAGCAACAGCAAGGACAACCACAAACCACAAATATTTTTCATTATTTTTGATAATGCGAGAGTCACTTAAGATTCAAAACAATTCTTTAATCCTAGTATAGAATTGTTGTTCCGAGAATATAGGATATCATCCCGAAGGGCGTGCGATATTTCACGGAAACTCTCCTCTGGGAATACTATCAATGTCAACACAAAGGACACTTTGCGTTGTTTTGTCTAACATATATRGRAACAAAAGTTCAGTTGACATTTCACCGATGATAATAAGATCGAATGGCTGCGAAACTCCGTCAGTTACTAGCTCAAACTATCTATTTTGTACCAATTGTACTAAATATTATTCATAATGGACAAGCACTCGATCTAAATGGAGCAAACGTGTGTCAAAAGAGAGTCAGGTAAGGATTATTCAGGTTATTGATGTCTGCTGGAGTTGTCATTAAAGTCAGTGGTGCTTCTGCAAAGATCACTATAAGTTGTATTTCGAAACTACCATTAATGAAAACGAWTGCTAAACATTTGTAAAGTTGTACTTGAAGAGTCCACTACGTAAGTCAAAAGTGGAATTTCGACGATGTTTCTAGACTCTWGGCCGAACTAACAAATGACTGAATAACTTATAGAATATTATCACATTGTTTGTGATTCGGCCTTAATCAAGACTGCACTGATTTTTCGTAAAATAATTTCAACTCTTAATAAGTTTTGTCAGTAAATTTTCACCCACAAAAAATGTTGAAACGTGTCCAAGTATCGTCTTTCGGTGAAATTTAGGCTTGTATTTCCGCTGATGGTGGAAYAGGATTCTTCCTGTTTTGGCAACACTCCTTGTCACAAGTTTATCATACTAATGTGATTTCTCGGTAAAGAATGAACAGGCAGCACATAAACAAGCTTGCCTATACTATCATAAACTTTGTAAGATTAACCTTTTTTCTTCTTACGAGTSGAAAAAGCAAAATATCATATGATAAAGAATTAAACTTGTGCATCTCGCTCATGCGCACTATACACAGTCTGGCATAGTATACTATAACTGTAATTGCTATTTTAGGAAAGATTGGGAAAAAAGGACTGACTTAGTGTTGATCTAGGCTTTATGWATGAATGTCAAATCGTCTTTGCAACCTCAAATGAACCGACAATGAGCAATGGGCAGCACGCCATTTTGTGCAGCAAAGCATGATGGTAGTTGTAGTCCTCGTACTTATTCACGACCGCTACAACAGTCCTTCTAAGCAGGTTTTTTTCTAAGTAAAAGTAGAAGTAGTTGTGCCGTAAAAACGGTTCTCAGGGAGATATTTTTGGGTCTATAATAAGTGCAAGGACTACAACTTCCATCATGCTTTGTTGAACAAAATGGCGTCGCTTGACATTGGTTATTGTTTGAGTATTTAAATGGCTGAGACCAAAAGAATGCACGGGACGTAATAATAACACCGAGGACTGGCTGCAAAACGGAGCTAATGGATAAATCATACTCTAGTCATGCAAATTCTCATGAACATTTGCGGCATCAATTGTTTGTATTCTAGTTGATGAAAATGTGCATGTTATTTTATCGCTCCCCTTCTTGGAAGGAAATAAAAAAAAAACTAAATAACAGAAATGGTGGCGTGGGATATTRCTTTCCTTTCCCATACACTGAAAGATTAAATCTTCAAATTAACTCGGTTTWATTGTTTTGTAACAGTTTTATCCAGTTTTACAAGCAGTCCTACCAATACACAAGGAAAGTTAGTTACACAACGAAATGCGGGTTTCTAGGCTGGGGAAGATGCACACGTTACAGGTAGAGTTAGTTTCCTTCGMAGCCTGCCATWTTGTCGGGCTTCCTGTCCCACCCAAAAGAGACAGGAAGACCGAAAAGAGGTATAGTAATTCTCCACTCAGTCCTTGCTTCATTTTGAAAGRTGGTGCGCTGATAGATACTTATTGCACATATAGAGGACACTTCAGTTTTCACAAGGATACTGCAAGCTCCATTCATTACTGCTTAAAAACCGCTGCCTACGAAATTTTTGTGAACTTCGATGCGTCAAAAAAAGGCACGAAGCTCTAATTAAGCCAATTTCTGCTTTGACATCTTTTTGTGAGTTCATTACTTATGAGTATCAATCAACTCTTATCAAGGACAGTATATGGCGTAAAGTATCGTGATGCGTCAAGACAAACTTACATGATGGTTACTGAATGCTGCAAGGGATGGAAGCAAGTAGGGAACCAATGTCCACTAGGTCAGTAAATGAATGAATACTGATACGAGAAGGCTAGTTATTTTAACCATATGACTTTGCGTTCAAATTCAACTCCTTTCAACTCCTCAGTTGAAATTCCTGCAGTGCGGCTTCTTCCTGCTAAATGCTCTGCGCACCCCTCCCTGAAGAAGTTTAAATTTAGACCTTGAACTGAACCTGACAAGCCTGCGGCGATGGAAACAAAAACCTTACACCAGAACTGTGTTTTTTTTGCAGCTATTTGTATTCAAAGATGTGTCCATGGGACTTGCACACAACCCAACAACTGTGCATGTAGTGCTGGATACCATGGAAACCTATGTGAACTAGGTAAAAATACACGCCTTGTACGAAAAGGTGGCTGAATGGAAGAAACAGTTGTGTGAAAAGATAAATTTAACACCATAAAAAAGTAGGTGAAATAACTTACTGACGTTTCGGACTGTTAATCCTTMGTCGGAGTAAAAAAGAAAGATTAACATCCGAAACGTCAGCAAGTTATTTCACCTACTTTTTTACGGTGTTAAATTTATCTTTTAACACAACTGTTTCTTTAGAAACACCGACGCAGCTCACACTAGTTTACCGCTAGTTCCCRCCAGGTTGCATGGAAGCACCGTTGGRAGTTTACAAATGATRTTTAACTTCCAAATGTTTAATCAWKTTYTGTTTGTTCAGAATGCCCGCCACACAAGTGGGGTGCCCACTGCAAGCACGACTGTCCATGTAAAAACAACGCTACATGTTTACCTCATACTGGCGACTGTTTGTGTACCCCAGGGTGGGAGGGAAAGTATTGTGATAAACCATGTGATCAGGGTTACTATGGAGACAAGTGTCAAAGTGTATGTCAGTGTCAAAATGCTACACATTGTGACGGCATTAGTGGGAACTGCACATGCGCACCAGGATATCATGGTGAAAGGTAAAAGAGACTGCAAAATAAATCAACAATCTTGTAATTGTACATCTTAGTAAATATTTTATGTACATGTTTTTTTGTAGATGTGAGATGCCGTGTTTACCCGGTTCTTATGGTAAGAACTGTGCTTCAAAATGCGCATGCCCAGASAATGCAGTCTGTGATCACGTGAATGGCACGTGTAGTTGTGCTGCTGGATGGATAGTAAGTCCTTTTGATTACCTGATCAACACGATTCTGATGTGTCATTTTAATTTTGCTTTTAAAAGTATTCATTGATGAATTATCCATATATTGAATAGTCTTCTTCACGGTTCCCTGTGCCATCTTGGTAGCCGTGCCAGTTGCATTGAAGCGACCACGACCTTTGAGCGTGCATAGAAACCTTCTTTCACACATATAGACAATTAGTGCACAGGTTTCTATCATTGCACGCTCAATGCAACGGTTGTCTCGATTCGAAGTTAAGTCACTGACAGCTACCTATCAAGATGGAGATAGAAGGAGACTATTAGATAGCATCATTCTGAACGCTCAGAGTTTTTTCTTATGGCGAATAGGTTTGGTATTGTATACCTTATTACTATTGAAATAATTAATAAATATTTGATCTTTTTAATTTCCCTACAGGGCAATCAATGCTCAAGTCAAASGTCTCTCTGTAACGATCACAATTGCATGCACGGGTCCTCGTGTAATCACGTGACTGGCACGTGCCATTGTTCATCGGGTTGGACTGTAAGTTTTTTGTGCCTTATTYGTGTGTGTATTGAATGTGATTCAGTTTCATTAGTTTTTCATTTCATTGGTTTTCACGGCAGTTTTTGTATCTCATTGTGTAATTGCTCGTTTCCATGCACGTTAGGGTRACWYCTGCAATCAAACGTGTCCTCAAGGTACATACGGCTACCTCTGTGCACAAAAATGCATGGAATGCCCCAAAGGKGCTACATGTGATCACGTGACTGGTATTTGCGTGTGCATGCCTGGTTACATAGGAGAAAGGTAATTTTCGATAAGATRTTTSACAGCTTCTGCGGAGTGATCTGCCAATGTTTCTCAACAATATATACTGACTAAAACGTTTCTTTTCAAGGTGTCAGCATACTTGTCAGGAAGGGAACTACGGACTCAAATGTTTAAAGAAGTGCGCATGTCAGAATAACGCCATCTGTTCACCCATCGATGGCTTCTGCAACTGTACCTCAGGGTTTACCGGCGTGCATTGCGAGAAACAGTGTTCCAGTGAGGCTGGAGGAGATCTAACACAGCGCTGCGAAGAGGAAAYACAATGTAATATTTCAAACAATTTAGATGATTGACATTGTCAATCAAATCAGTTTTGCGGGAATATACTACTATGAATCAGTAAATGCATCTTGAATAAACCCTTTGAGCGATCTCTTTTACGCTGTGTTAGCCTCAAAACCATGTAATAAATTCAGKCTGTGCAGGAGATCCGTTAATATAGAAGACAATGAAAATAGATTGAAATTTCACGAGTTCTATCTAAATTTCTGAATATTTTGCATACAATASAGGCTAACAAMAAGAGATCACGAAACAGCGAAAACCAAGAAAAGTTCTGATTTCTTATCACAGTTCATGTTGTTTCAAGTGAYTGATCAGTGCATTTACAAGGARTCAAGSCTGTACATGTAACAAATAAAACATCGAGGCGAATTTCTCATGTACTTCCTGGTTTTGTCTTTCCACAGACGACAAGACATTTCAAGCCGAAAATAACCACGCGATTCCCGTCGTCCTGGGAACCATTTCCTTTGTAATAGTGGCTGCAATAGCAATAATATGCTTAGTAAGATACAAGCGATCAAAGCGCATGTCTGGAGGAGAAGAAACCGCTGAGAATGCTAATCAACAGGTCACAGAGTACACTGACATATCCCAGACAGCACCAGGGAATGAAGAGCGAATTTACCAGACTCCCTACCCTGTTCCACTAGCCGCTCTTCACAGTGATTATGCAGAACCAAGGCATTATGCGGAACCTACGTCGCCATCAGTCGCCGCTCCTAAAACGCATGAATACGCAACTCCTACACTCCATCCACAWTGCACAGCGGCTTGTAGTGACGTAAATGTTGCCAAGACAACTAACAAGTACATGGAGCTTCATAAGCCAGCACGCATGAACATCTATGAGCAAATGTCGCCAGTTACACGAAGCAAAACTGAATTTTCTGTCGGGGACGATGAAGAAGTAGTGCCATCTAATGAATATGAAAATCTTCAATCGAGRAATGACAATGATTATGAGCCACTTTGTGCTTCCTCATCCCTCCCTGCTGAAAAACAACAATCAAAATGACACGATAAACGCAAAGTGTGCGTTATTTTCATGAATTCACTCGCTGTAAATATTGCATCAAGAAAACGACGTTGACAAGGTCGACCAAACACACTTTCCTCCCCTTGTAATTTTGTCAAATATAATCTTTTTTCCCGCCATCACAGTGTCTACTTACAAGTCTGTATATGTCTGCTCAACGGTTGATTTGTTGATAACAACCGTTAATGATTAATTAAACAATATCCCTAATACTTTTCAATGATAGATATGATTGATTGATTTGTAAAAATAAATAAGTAAAAAAGAAAAATTATAATTTGCTCTTTAAAACTTATGCTCATCAAGTTAAACAATKTGCTTAGCTTTCTTAAGTTTTTCTTCTTCAAGTGTTTATAAAACTAATGAAACAATTTGTTTGTCTATTTTTCCTTAGATAYAGCTCTCCTTAGCAACAAAGGTATTCGTCTCAGACTTCCCGGCCTCTTGATCAATAACCATTTGTCATTATMGATTAACTAACCTTAATGACCTTTATATTGCTTGAGTTKARCAAATTGCGAAAAATCACCTTGTTTACCTAGTGAAATATGTCTACAGACAGCAAAASAAGAGAGTAACMTCTTCMTTTTGAGAAGGTGACTTCAATTTATCGCGTTACACGTTGTCATTGCCATTTGACACATTCTAATTTTGAAGCAATATCCGCAGGACTAGTTCTAGTAGATGACAGTTTGAACATCTTCTCTGGACATTTAAATACGCCGTGCTATGGGAGTTTCAGACATTGAAACGCTTCGAGGGCTAGTAGATTCTTCTTTACGTTCTCCAGAGTACGGAATAGTTAATTTTCATCATCTACACAAAGTTTTACATGGAATTTTGAGTCATTTGGGACTTCATTACGACGGCAAACAGCTCGCCAGTAATGAGACCTCGGAGAAAAWCTCRCAATTCTCGGCGRTTGAATCTGATGAAGGAAAGCGAGTGGGTGATGCAGAAAATTATGTTGAAAGGTCAGAGAATGTTGTTGATATACAGCAAGAATCAAAACAATCTCATGGTGACGGAGTTGAACCAAAGGARACGAATCAAGAAGGCCAAGAAGTCGAGAAGTGAGTCAGATTTGACAAGTTATCAATATTGACATTTTATTTTGTTTTTAATATAATGTTTTCATGGAGTATTTCATGAGAGTTTTCTCATTCTTGTTTGCGCATAATGTGCTTTTCTTCTTAGGCAAGTTTAATCATAAMGCAACGGGGCCTTTTGTTCAAATGTTTTGTTTTGACCAGATATAAATCTAATTTTGTCGAGCAAATTTGCAAAACACGATGCCAAACAATAATATTATGTATTAATATGGATTATAAAGATTTTGAACTATGGTTTTCTCTTCAACTTTGAAATACTTTATTCCAAAGCTAATTYCCAAAGTAATTGGAACTTTTTTCGATTAGGAATATGCTACCATGKGAAGCACTTCAAATATAACTTTTCAAGATAATCTCTTAATCTGTCCGTAAAATCCACGACAATTCAACTACAATAGCATCTCTCAGCTTGAATACTTGTAWAATCCTTCGAAATTAGATTTTAGGACCCTATTTATGTAAAAGCCTTTAGGAAAGCTTACGAAAAGGCAATGTAATTTTTCGGTCTTTAATTCACGTGTGCTTCAAGAAATCGCGCGCGCCTTGCTGTCTTTGTTGACGGTCAAAGGTTTYCAGTTACTTAGGTGACTAAAGAATTCCCTTTCAGATCTAATTTGCGTGTTGTTTTTTTTTTTGCTTTCCGGATTCCTTCGTTTTAGGATTTATTTTGAAAGAAACATAAAATTTCTTATCACAAAAAAATTGTGTGATATTCCTTGGTGGAAAGAATTAGCCTAATTCTTATGCAAAAATGGAATTCASCGGRAATAAGGAATTATTTTTTTGAAATTCCAATTAAAAGTTTTCTATTTTGGGATACATGTTGCTTTTTTCTATTGTTTTATTTATTAYTACATATTACAATCTTTATTTGAAATTTAATCAAATTTCATGAAGATTTTCTCATTTTCTTCTCAAAACAATAACAATATACTTTTTTATTTGTAAATTTTCTTGATGGTTGCGATACACTTTTTTGAAATTTTAATATTTTCTTTTTAGGAAAACTGTTATGTTGACTCAGTTTGATTATTTTCGATGCTTTGTTTGCTTAGCTTGAGGTCTATCTCGATAGCAAAGTAAAAACGATGAGAATAATTGAAGATGCCCTTCATTTCTGGCCAATGCTGTGTACATAGGCCTATTTCACATTGGCAAGCCTCACAATTCTCAAAAGCACATATGTTTCATTTGCATTCAAATAAGCACATTTTAAATTCAGTGCAAATGATAGTTATATATATGTATATTGATCAAATGGAAATGAATATTCAAAATAAGGTAGATTTTAGAAAGGATTTGTCTGAATGATTTATTTTTAATTTACTTTTGCCTGTKTTAAAGGAACTCATTTCTGGCATTAAATATACACAGATACTTAAATACTCCTTGTCCTCCAGATGAATCCTTGAATATAAGTCCTTAATTTGACGACTTTCATAATGGATGACACTAAATTAACACATTGTTAAATTCATAATGCTGACAAAAGAAAATACTGATGTGATAGTTATCAAAACATGTTAAGATGACTTCTGAAAGTTTCACAGAAAAATATTAGATCCTGTTGAAGTTATCAGGGTTTTTAGAAGAGGTATGAAAACACCAAAATGAGGCTACCAAGGCCTCAGCAAAATGCAATTGTATTTTCAGTCTTCCATAACTTTGTTAGTATTTTGACCATAATTTCAAAACTTCTCAACAAATTTCTATTTTTTTATAGTTCTCCCATATGTCAGTGCTGAATGTTTCCATAATAATTGTGTCAATTGAATAAAATTGATGGCACTTATGAAAGTGCATGGTCTATTGTCATTATGTTTTAAGGTTGTTGTTTTTTATTAGCCTTGGTCTTTCTGTTTCAAAACCCATATACAAGCAAGTTACCATGGTGACCTGGGAACACACTAGTTGTCCTAGTTTAAATGTGTCTGAATTACAATAGATTTATTAAAAACCATTAAATAATCAGTCTAAATATAGAATGTTGTGTATTTTAATATTTTTAGACTAAAATCTCATCAGCGACATCTTGAAAGCAAGATCAGCAATCTTGAAGACAAACTCAAACTACTTGATGAATTTCCTTCCAACAAGACAATAATACAAGAAGCACAGCAGAGTACCYCYCCYGAYGCTAAAGAAAGCACACTCTCAGGGATTTGGCAGTTTATGAAAATAAACAGAAGACTKCAAGCTGCAGAGGATGCTATCGACCGTATCATGTCCATTTTAAATGAATTCCTTGGAAGCGGTCAAGGAAAATCTCTCASTGYMATATCAGACAGCATTCAAGACTTGTCCTCRGAGCTACAGCAACTTAAAGACCAGCTCAAGGATTCACCATCTCAATTCGATGGCTTGTTGAAGAGAGAAGATTTRAATAAATGCATTGATGGTCTTGCTACAAAAGATGAACTCCAAGARTATGTGAAATGGCCTGCTTTGGAGGAAGCTTTGCAAATCAAGAAGGACAAAAACAAGGAGAACTCTTCCAAAGAAGTCAACATTATGAATTTGGATGACCAGAAAGAAGAGAAGGAAGGAGAGAGACCAAAAACCTCCCCAGCTCCTCCTACACAGACCCCAGTCCCTCTGTCTGAGGTACCAAAGACGGCAATGACAAGTGAAGGCGCACAGGTAAAACATCATGGGCAGATGTACACGTTTGTAGGGGGGGTGTAAAACTTGTTTGATAATCCAAACCCTATAGAATTAATACCCTACCCCTTCCTCCTTGTAATTACTTGATTACATAACAGCTGGTAAATGATTTTGTTTGTTAATGTTGAAAAATATGGTGTAAATTGTCATTGTCAAGCAGCACTTGAGTGAAGAACACTTAATGCAGCAATGATAATTCAGGAGCAAATTGTTAAGGGCCCATGTGCATCCAAGAGCACTTTCTTTACACTCAAAACTTTGCCATCTTTGATTAAATCAGAAACACCTTTCAATATGGGATCATTTGTGAAATAAAAGAACTGATTGCAGAGGCTCTAGGATGCATGTGGGCTTTCAAGTTCATATCATTCATGCAATCTTTGGAGAATGTCCAATCTGTTGTGGTAGGTCCAATCCCCACACCTTATAATTACAATATATTCTTTTTAATACAGGAGAAGGACAAAGATGTTATTCTTGATGACAAAAAAGATCACAAAGAAGAAGCAAAGATCATTAGTGATGACAGCAAACATGATCAAGATGATGACAAAAATACWCACCCCTCCCCTGAACTGGTTGAGTGTTTAAGGCGCATTAGCGAGCTRCATGATCAACACAATAAGATGAGTGAGGTTATTGAAACCAAAATGGACAAAGTGAATCTTGTTATACCTCCAGACTTGCAAGACCAACTGGATGAGCTGAAGAAAGGTATGCTTTATCATTGATTCAGATGGACAGACAGTTATTTAGACTGCATGAACATTAATTGAGTGTTAACATATGGTAGGTTTTGAAACTCTCCTTCAAAATGGCGCTCAAGCTAATRCAGACCCCCAAGGCATCAAAAACGTCGCACTGGACAATAAAGACAAGATTGACACATTACGACGAGAGTTAGCTGCTCTTTCCCGTCAGGCCAAGCAAACCTACATCGAACGACCACCTGCACCACCCCCAGCAATAGATAACGAGGCTTTGCTTGCCATTCAAARAAAGCTGACAGATCTGGAAACCAATCAAGACAGTAGTAATGATAGTACAGAAAAGAAGATAGCAGAGCTGCTAGAAAACCTCAGCAATAAGCAGGTACAYTTTTTACTGAACGTGTTTTAATTTATGTTCTTGTGTCGTGCTGTGTTGTTCCTTCTTTTGCGCTTGTGTTTTTTTGTTTGAGGTTGTTTTGGTTTGGTTTTTAGTTTATTTCTTGGTTGCTTATTGTTTAACTTGCGTAGTACTTTTGTCTATTTGTATAGGAAATCGCACGACGTTGAGTGCAGTTTGGAATTAATAGTCACGAGTAATGTTTYGAAAGYTCTTCGYAATTTGTGAACTTTCAAAAAATTAATCGTGTCTATTAATTCCAAATWGTACKAGAGGCTGTGYGATCTTTTGTTTATAGTACATTCAGTGAAACAAAATTTTGTAAGGAGTACAATTAAWGCTGTAATTGTACTCCKCTCGACCAAKGAAAAAGTATTATTTTGTTGAATGTACTATAAGACAATTTACACCTTAGGTCTTAGGTATTCAAATATTCTCGATTTACTGAAGAAAGCCTTATATAAATCAACGCATTCCCAGTGACTTGTCACATGTAACAAGCCTGTAAGTATACTGACCCTATACTGTAAGAGTTTCTGATTTCTTCGTCCTCAGAATCTAATCGAAGCGCTCTACAAACAAATCCAAACGTTACATGAYATCAAAGCAGACAAAGAGAACGTTGCTATAGAGATGGACTACAAAGCAGACAAAGCTGCTTTAGAAAGTAAAGTTAACACTTCAACCTTCGATACTACATTCACCATGCTYGACGAGGGACTGCGAGAGGCTTTGCAGAAAATGGATGACTACTTGAACGAGGAATTGGCTCTRAAAAACGCATTGAAACAGTTGTCTTGTGATATGAAAGAGAAAATGGACAACGAAGCATTTAAAGCCATGCAGAATTATCTTGGTAAATTTTTTATGACAGTTATTGTCATCATTGTGACTGATATCATCAGTGTTCATCATCATTATCATCATCATCATCACTATTCTTAGATGGTAATGCATGTACCGTATATGAATTGCGCAAACTGGCCCTAGTTCATATAGACAGTGTGCTTGAATAGTGAATAACAATAGCAGTTATACTGTCACTTACGTAACGTGAATTACGTAAATATTATATATCAGTGGGACTTAGAGTATACAGCCGGCTCAAATCACGCTCTGAAAATACTTGGATCAACCGAATTTGCGCAAGTTAAAGAGCGTACTAATTTTGGTTGCAGAAAACACACAACATAAGATAACCGCTATAGGCAAATTACGCAAGCCTCACTGCGCAAGCTATATATGAGCGTTTTAGTTTACGTATTGCACGTAATAAGTCGCAACCTACGTAAACCACGTAAACCTGCGCAAGCTAAATGTGAATATATTTTCAGAGAAACGTATCGCTGATGTACAGAAATCACGGACAATGATCGCACGTGAGGCGAACGTCGACTTAAATAACGCAGCAGGATTACGTAGGCCGTTGGTTAACTTCCACTGCATCTCATGCAATCGACCTGTTGATGTTAAGTACAACTCGAACGTTGAACCSTCTTTACCAAAAGCTGACAGTATTCACATCAAGAAATCCAAAGGACCATACCTTAGTTATGAAATAGACCAGGTAGAATAAATATTGTCCCTTCCCTTCCCTTCCCTTCCCTTCCCTTCCCTTCCCTTCCCTTCCCTTCTTTTTGTGATGTTTCAATGGATCACATACCTCGTTCTAAAACATATGCTTGTTTAGCTTCGTCATATCCATCGTGGACAACAACCATTGCTCCGTCCTGATCATAGGCTGACCAGCGATACGTTTTCTATGAGTAGACCATGTGGCGGTAGTCATACTGTTACAAGTCAACAGTTACGTAAACCTGTACGTATCCACAACGCACAGGCGGCGCACTCAGTTAATGGTACGTAAGAGCGTTTATCATTTCGTACTCATACGTTTTCATTGATAAYTTCCGCTTCACTTATGTGATCATACAAACAAGGAAAACAAAGCCTTCTCCGGCGGTATACCTTTTTCCTAAAGGAAAAAAAAAGCGGAGGGCAACCAGTGGAGGAGTAATTGGAAAATCAAGGTAYTCAAAAGATATACAATTTTAGTTGTCTGTTTTCTCTATTGCCCGGTTTTAGGTTCAAGTCGAGAGGAACCAGTGACTTATCCCAACTGGACTCGAGAGGTGTCAATCATCGACGTTCTGAAAGGAACAGACGGTCATGTTTACAAAGGAAGATACAGGGTATGCATGGTTTTAACCATCCCCTCCCTTTCCTTCAACCTCTTTCTCTTTGCTCTTTGCTTGACTCACTTTCACCCCGCCATTCTTTATAAGTTATCCCTTATTTTTTGTATTTCTTTTCCGTTTTCTTCTCTTCCTTTTCTCTCTTATTCCAATTCTTCATTTATAGTTCATTACCTTCTTCGATTTATTATTATTATCATTTTAGTTTATTTATGAGACGTATAATTTTTATTGATTTAGACAATACCACCAATCGTAAAAGCAAAGGGACACAARCATACACCTTCAGAAAGTGACCTTCCCCCTCTAAGAAATGACCCCAGTCCACCCCTGACGGGACACAAATGGAGCTCCGAGCCTGAGCTATCGCGTCCGCGGGATGAGGTGCGTATATCGCCGGGTTATGACACTGTTCATATACCGTATTCAATGTATTTAAAGTGTATTWAAAATGTAAATTTGTCTACAGGTCGAATTGGGTGAAGYGAAACAATCCACTTATATCAATACATCGAAACCCCTTACACCACCAACAACAACCAACGCCTCACCAAACTCTCGCTATAAGAGAGTTTTAAGCCAACGACAGTCAGACTTAGGGTCTAGTGCAATTCCTTCGCCGTCACCTCCAACAGCGAGGGAGAATGAGTACCAACGTAGAATCGACAGAGAAGAGTTTTTAGAAAAGGTGAGATTTTGAGCTGTTTAATTTAATTCTACTTTTTACAGCAATTTGCTATTCCCATGCTTCCTCGACCAGTTAACACRGGAAGCCCACAATGACTTTYGCGCTTGTTTGTGTTGTTTTAGCAGCAGCAAGAGCTTGCCGACGAAAGATTGTTTTCTCCCCGCAAAGAATATCGTGGTGTCCAGCCAAGAACCAGCGAGAATGACAGCATGGTAATACGATATGTCGTTATTTTCTATTTTATTTTATTATTAGCTTCGCCTTAATAATAGGATAAGAAAAAGAGAAAAATGTATACCGACCATATATATGTTATGTTATGTTTTCTAAGTGGAAATCAGAAGTTTACCGACTTCGGATTAAGTTATAATACTAGTTTCATATTGGCATCTTTTAGTTTGTATTACCCAGTACCTCTCCAGCTAACTGTCCCTAGAAAGTCCTGGTAATGACCTACTCTTCACCTCTTGTTWTTTTCAGGGAGAAACCGTCGAAAATATGTACTCRCCTCACTCCCCCAAACTGACCCGYCTAACCAAAAGTGGTGGAAATAGCCAAAACGTTATTGGTSTMGATTTGACAAAAAGACAAATRAGTGTTGATAGTGTTGATGACGTCATGTCATAGCACTGGCATATCCTCGTTCGTCTTACGATTCTGAAAGATAACAAGGAAAAACGGGAGTGTACAAAGCTTGAAAGACGTTATGTTTGTATGACGTATTCTATGAACCAGTGATGTCATGGGAAAGCGCATACCATAAAGTCGTCAATGAAATATGAGAATCATTTACGCATAAGCTCTTAAAAGAACAAGAAAAGGAGTTTATATCTGTGTCATAAGGGATAGACTAGGTTCCGTTTAATGACTCATTGACGTGCTTTCCAGAGTTTTCTTTCCTGCCTAGTCCAGATACTATGATAATCATTAGATTGTAGACGTTAACTTATCTTAACTTTAATGAGTCAGCATTGATTGGAAAGGAATCACTGCTTACATGATACGCTTATGGATTCATCAGTGAGTTTTTGAGCACGTATTTTGTATCGAAGAGGACATCACTGACATTCTGTAAAATCTATATTACAAAAGATGTAAAGATTTACGTGAGTTACACCATTAAAATCTAGTATCAATTCATTTGGTTTTATTTTATGTTGTTTATACAGCACTGTATTCATCTATTTAAAAAAGCGTTGCCGGGGAGACGGCGATTGTCGAGCGGAGATTGCATTACCGAAAGGGACTGGTTATGATGTTTGACATAAAAAAATGTTTGACATAAAAAACTTATTTGTTTCACCTAGCCTTCTCCCCAGTCAACTCTTTTCCTCCTTGATCGCTAGGGACTAGTGACGAGAAAGTAAAAATAAAAGGTAGAGGAGTTGGCGTATCAAGCGCTCTTCTTCATCTACTCTCATTCGCCCATGATAATTATGATTACAATCTTCTTACGGCATAAATCTGTCTTTACTTAATAATAATAATGATGATAATAATAATGTATTTGACTTCCTTGGAGGGTACAACGTAGGACTAGAAGAAGATCTGAACAACTCCTTTTAGTAAAGGAGTAATGTGATCACGACGTTTAGAGAGAGTAACAATTCGGGCMGCAKAATTAAGAACACGTTGTAGCTTATCCAGGTGAACACCAGATATACCATATAGAAGAGAGTTACACAGAATTATCAAGTCTTGAAGTTATAAAGGCATGAACAAGTTTTTCAGCAGTACTCACAGATATTGATTTACGGATACGAGAAATGTTACGAAGATGATAAAATGACGTTTTACAGATATTATTGACATGTTACCATTAATTAGCAAAAACCCATGGCTCCTTTCGGTCGTGTGAGAGCTCATTTTGCATTCGCATTTTGTCCAAAACCTCCGTTTAGTAATGACTCTAAGTTTTATTTCCGTAATCTTGATCTGGTATTTATATTTTCAGCTGTAACCCTCGCACAATCATGGTAAGCGCGATTTCAAGCCGAGGCCGAAGGTTTCGCGGGCACTGGGTACGAGATCTTCCTTCCTGGCCAGTACAACTCGTTGCTACCGCCAAACAAAAAAAAAATGTGTTTTGAGTTGTTCGCTCTTCAAATTTACCTACGGAATGAAATATATGTAAACATACCTCATTTATCATGTTAGTTGGAGAACTTGGTACGTCACTTTTTAAAGGTTTTTTCAGTATTTACTCGTTGGCCTTGGAAGTTACTGGTCCGAGCAGTTTGTACGCTGTTGTGCTGTTGTGTTGGAATTGTCAGTGGCAATGAAGGTAAATTCATATATATATCTCACTCAAGTTATTGAATTTGTATATTATCAATGAATCGATGGAGTTCTAAAAACTCAAAGCACATTATAACTTTTTTAGAGAAATTAACCCAACAAAGCTTAATACTGAATTTTAGTCATCGAATTTTTACGGTTGACATCGCTTCTTCGGCAGCTTCTAGAATATAAGCTTAGAGAGCTAACTATAAGAAGTGAAAATCCAGAAATATTATCAATCTATCAATTCTAAATAACTAATTTGTTTGACGTCAGACTTAAGGTTTTTTAATGCTGAAGTCATTGGGATTGCTTTTATGTTTATTTGAAAAGCAGATTCTTGGTATTGAACGTTCGTCTTGCAGCCGTTCTTTATGTCCAGACAAAAACAAAATAACAAAATTCGCCAGGAACTGACTTTATCCTTGTTTATCTTTGGTGTATAGTGTTTCTAAGACAGCAAATAGTAGTTTTGATGTTTATATAACATTCTCACAAATTGTTCTTAATCCACGACGTGGTATGATAATTTTTCGTTGGTCATGAAACAATAGCTTCATCAATGATTCAAGCTTTAGCGAACTCTTCGATTAAGCAATATATGAGTTGAACCGAGCGCATTAGAGTTCAAGCAATATATCCGTGCAATAGAGTGCAAGCAATATATCCGTGCAATACTTACAAAAGACTATTATTTTTTACTAAATTTTGCTAAATTTAACTAAATTATTGCAAAATGATTAATTTAGTGTGGTTACTGGACCGTAGAAGCGTATTGTACAGTGCTTGGGTCGTGCTTTTTTCAAGAATAGCGTTGCTACAAAATCAAAACTAAAATCTAAAAACAAATCTAAAATAACAAACAACAGAAGTTCATACGAAAAAAAAAAACGATAGGGAGGGATAGACAAGCTACCTGGTGCACACATCGATCCATCACGTGACCAGTGTTTCATAAGACCTTGTCACAGACTTGTTTGAATCCCGCGAGGCACGGGATCCTGACGTAATACCACAGGTAATCCGCATTTCACTAGTTTCATTTCACACGATACTAGTATAAAAGCGTGCGCGTTCATTCTTTTCTTTCTCTCAAGCAATAGTTGGGTGGCCTGTGCATCGACTAAATCCCCGTCTACACGAGCAATTTTTATGTGGCAATTTTTAATTGCCCGTGTAGATGAGCAAAAAAGAAAGCTGGCATGCTAGTTTTTATGTGACAACTAAAAATTGTCACATATCGAAAATTTCCCGTGTGGACGAGCGTCACACGAGCGTCACACGAGCGTCTCGCGCGCTGATTGGCGGACCGGACCGGCGCGCGCCAGAAACGATTTTGTTTTGAAAGTTTTACTTTGTTTTCTGCCTTGCTATGGTAAAAAACAATTCGAAATCGCTTTTCTATGGTCTGTACGCTTTTCGACAATGAAAATGACGTCAGAAACTGATCAAAACTTGGCAGTGAAACCACTCGCTACGCTCGTGGTTCCACTTGAGGTTTGATCATTTTCTGACGTCATTTTCATTGTTGATAAGCGTACAGACAATAGAAAAGTGAATTATAAGCGAGATGAACACTTCTGGTTATGTACTTCTGGCTATATACAGCAGGAGGGAAGCCTGTATAAAACGTAATGCCGACGTGCGAGGTAACTAACAAACTTAGTTTTCAATTCACGTGGTTTTCGCAAAAACTGAATAGACTTCTAAAGTGAACGTTTTCTCAGTTGGGTTTTGAACCATAGAATCCTCTCCTCTTGAGACTTTTTCATTGCCTGTTGAAATTAGTTTCCTTTAAGAAAACCTGTTCACGCGAGAGCGAGTAATCGAAATTTGAATATTGTTATCAAATATTCTTGCAGTCATTCTGGAAACGATGTTGAACATTGAGGACGATTTGTTCATAGCTCACTGAAAATACGTTTGACAGCATTCCATTGCCGAACTTTGATATTGATGATTTGCTATCTTATTTGGAACTCCGTATACCTACGCCCGCAAATGAGTACGACAAAGTCTGCAGAAGAGAAAAACAAGAGAAAAATTACAATAGTGGGTGGAAGAATTTTTTCGAGGAATAATTTTTTTAGGACTTCAGGCGCGCTCTTGTATTTTTTTTATTTTTGTAAATTTGCAAAAGCTTTAGTGGAGATTTCTTAAAATTTTGCCTTACAGGATCTTTTTTTATTATCTTTCAACCCCCTCCCCCCCCCCCCCCAACTCAAAATTCTAATGGACCGCCCCTACACAGCGTGCTTCCGTGGTACGGAGAGTAAATATTGATTTTTTGTGCTCTCTTTATCGTTTTAGAGTTATGTCAAACAAATTACAGCAGTACGTTTCAAAACAGTCTGGTCCATATCTAAACCAATAATCTTCATTTTCCTCTTGGTAAATGTGATAATAGTTTTCAGATACCGATACCGAATTTCGATTCACCGACAAATCTCTGTTTATATACCATACAAGTACAACGGATCAGAAAACACTTCAACGAACCAAGCAAACTTCCAAGAGCTGCAAAGACACTTTCGCTTCCATTTCAAACGAGAAAGGAAAGCTCGCACTGACTGGTGGGGAATTTTAAAACCCTGTTTTAACAATACGGACTGGGGACAAGTTAAACCTGGATGGGAGAAAAGTCAACGAACTGACGCCTCGACAAGTTTAATCATCAGTCAAGACATCCGTCCTGCACGTGAATATAGTCGGTTGTTCATTCAGACTAAAACAAAAGATGGACGGTTAAAATCGTTTGGTGGAGATTCGTGGCGAGTGTACCTTCGTGGCCCAGCTTCAGTATCAGCCACTGTATTTGATCATGATAATGGGACCTATGAAGCGCTGTTTTTGTTGATGGAGCCTGGGGTTTATCGTGTGCAGGTGTATCTGGACTATAGTTTATGTGATGGACTTAGAAATCCTCCTTGGGATTGGTTTATAAAGGGTGAGAGAGCGAATGTCATCCTTCACAAGTTTGTAAGGTTTCTTGTGATTGGAGGAATAAAACGATGCTCATTGTTTCCTCGTTCATAAATCCTATTGGTTTCTTTTAAATTTAACAAATAGCTAGTCAACCAATCGGATAAGACCCGTTACAAAACCGTGAAGGGCTACCCGAGAGGGACAACTAACGAAAAATTAAAGGGACATGGTCCACTAGCATGCAATGCGGTCRTGYTTYAGATTTTTMATATATGGAAAATGAGGTGACTTCGAATATCCATTTGCAATCCGTTTCCATCCATCGGTTTAACGGTCGAATATAAATCTTAAAGCATCTCCATTCATATAGGATAAAGGAATAATAAAGAGTAGGTTTTTGCTTATATGATGTATTTCTATTTTCAAACATAAACAAAAGCTCGAAAGGGATGCTGGTGGACCATGTCCCTTTAAGTGAGAATGACACGATTTTACAGAAAATGTATGGTGGCTAGCTACATATCTTGGCCAAAGTTTACTAATTTTATTCGATTTTACCCATAATTTAGGGAATAGCAATGGCAAGAAGCAAAAAAAGGGTTCATTGGGATATCTAGATGACTACCTGTACCGGCCTTTGTCAAGCAACCTGTCGATCACCGTCCAACAACCACGTCACAATATGTCCCTTAACGGTAGTAATACAGTGTTCAATTAGGGGTGGATCATGAGATCTAGGGAGGGCGTGTTGATCTTTTTTAATGAGGGGGATGGGGAGTGGAAGATTATTACCTCCAGAACTAGATACTGCTGTCGTAGTATCCAAAGACTTTTAAAACTTTTTAAGACTTTTAAAACGGTCTTAAATTGATATGTGTCGACATTTTCAGATGTCCTCGTTCCCAGCAGTGAGTGTAAGGAATATTGCGCCTTTCTCTATGACGGATATGGGAGATGGATCAAAAAAGCCTGGTCTCCATTTTTACCATGTAAGTACTGGTAAGACGAGTGAATGACCGTTTTTATTACTATTCACGGCGAGAATAAGTGCAGATACTGCAAATGTATGTACAAAAATTCATATAGGCACAAGTGAAGATAGGTACTTATAGGATCCCTAAATTATTGTCAAAATTACAAGAATCGAACCAATGGATATGGAGCTAACGGTGTCAATATTTTTTTCAAGCAACATTCAATACGAGCAAGGTGCTGGTCAAAGAAGCCTCTGGTACAATCGTATCCTATGGCGATTCTCTGGGATTACGATTCGGTAACTCAATGTCTGGAAATCCTAATATACGCAAGGTTTACAAGCAAGCTGACTACCGATACAACTGGATCTATCCCATTGGATCTGAAGCGGTATGTTAAAAATTCTATATCTAATTGTTATCTTGTTTTTTTCTGGTGCTGTCGAAAACCCGGTGAGGGATTTTTGAGTGGGGTGGGCTTTATGAGATTCGCAGTTGTTCAAAGAACCGCAGCACTTGTTCTAGCAATGTCAGTTTTAGTTGGATCCTTGTTGCTGTTGTTGTTCCTGTTGTTGTTGTTCCTGTTGTTGTTGCTGCTGTTGTTGTTCCTGTTGTTGTTGTGCCTGTTATTGTTGCTGCTGTTGTGTTGCTTCTGTTGTTGTTGTTGTTGCTGTTATTGTTGTTGTTGTTGCTGTTGTTTCTGCTGCGTGTTCCGTTTGTTGTTGTTGTTTCCAGGCCTGTCTTCAATTCTATCCGGTCCAGGACTCACAGGAAAATATTCCTGGAATGATGCAGAAAGGAGTACTGGACTGCAGGAGTCCATGTTTGTGAATGTTTGCGATTTTGAGAATCTCGTTTGCATGTCCTTTCAGGCTGAACTAAAAAGAAATGATGACTTAGACATCGACGTGGAGCGTATCGTCTCCTATATCAAGAAGACTTTAGACCAGCCGTCAATCAATACAGAACACAGTACTCTGGTCCTCAACCTCGGACTGCACTATGCGGTCACAGTGAACTTCAGCACCTATCAATACGTGTTAGAGAGAGTTCTTGATCTTTTCTTTGCGAATCAAACACTTGAACATCAAGGGAGGCAACGAGCTAGATACAAAACTAACATTATTTGGAAAACTACCTCTCAAATTAAGAAAGAAAACGCAGGATCGTTAAATGAGACTTCGAACAGATTCTTCACGGCACAGGTTGGTGTCTAGAGAGTGGATTGCGTGACATGGTTGCATGACATAATAAACAAAGAGAATGCTGCTCGTAAAAAAACACGATTTGTCACTATTGCGTCGCATGACGATATTTTTGAGTCATAACAATCTATTTTAAGATGCAAAAGAATCATGGTAAAAAGCAAAAACTATTTCTTGGAAATAATTGGACTTTGAAAGCGGGGTCACGCAGATACCCAAGATTGTCCGGTGCAAAACTTAACACACTGGAGTATGTTGTGTAGATGAATATTACATTGCCGGATAACTAGTCATAATATTAAAACTTCTAGATGGTATTAACAACTTCCCCCTTTTATCTCAACAGAGAGTGCAGCTATTCAATGCATATGCAACATGGAGAATGTGTAAAGCTGGGATTCCTGTGGTTGATGTCCATCAGGTGACCCTATCGTACCCCCCTGGACCGATGGATGTTGTTCATTATCCTAATTATGTTTTTAAACAAGCAGAGGACGCTTTGGCTAATTTCAAGAGGTTTTATAATAATAACATCAGTTTAATAGATAGAACATGTATTCAATAATTGATAAAATGTTAAGAATAGATAAGATGAAATGAATTCAAATAGAACATGTATTCAATGATGATTGCCAATACAATCAATAAGGTTTTTGATTTTCTATTAAAGGCACAGTGTAACTGTGGATACTTTGCGTCAATATTTATGGCTACTTCATGCTATTTAGAGTGATAAAAAATCGCAAGGCATCCAGGATGATACGTGGTCGTTAACTCTAGCCTGGATCAAATAAATTTCCGTGAGATAGAATCTTCTTCATCTCTCCTCAGTCAGAAAGGATGTCAGGTAGCCGGTAATATTTCATAGGTTGGCTGATTGAAAGTCTTATCATCAGGTAGCACTGTTAAATATTCATGTGGACTACCTTGATTGATCATTCCTTCTCCATTTGACACGTTCCCGTAGAGTACCGGGGAATTCGTACTGTTATCGGGTAACTGATATCTGTTGTCATAAATTACATTACTCTGGCCGCTGACGTCGTGGTCAGGAAGTATAGTTAAGTAAAGCTCACTGTCATCAACCCGGCTTTTTTCCTTCTGTAAATTACCGTAGCGTACCGGGGACTCGGCATTGTTCGCTACATTATCGATATCTGTTTTATTTAGAGGCTGATAAATCCTTGATGTATCTACATTCAAAGTTTGATACATTCCTCCGTCTTGACCTGCGTTGTCTTTTCCAATATCACGTGATTTGAGCTCATGCTGGTCACGTGATAGCAAGCCTTGGTACACGGGATGATCGCGTGACTGCGTGACATGTGTCAACTCCAGGTAGCTGGGTTTATGAGAGACAAAATCGTTGTCTTGACTTTTGCCAGATTTTCCATCTGTACATCCTGCATTCACAGTTACCTCGTATTTTGGCTCTTCCTGGGGTTCCCTGCTTTTGCTTCGGTATTTCCGATACGCGACACAAGTCACTAATACAGCGGCGAGAACAAAGACGACGGACACGCTAAGCACGATGGGAAGCATTAGTTCCGCACTGTCTCCTGTGTGTTTGTCACTGCTAGCTTTACTTCCTGGAAATGGTAACATAACATAAAACGAGACATACATACAGGATACGGATAGTTTGAAAGAGGCGTTTGTAACTGATATAGAACTGTACCCGTAATCGTAATTACTCGAGTCATTGCAATACTCACCATTGCAATTGTTGCCATGACATATGCAGTTACCATCCGTAGGCTGACAATATTTGTCTCCATGGCAACTACATCTCTCTTTACAGCCATCTCCATAGTAACCACTCCCACATAACTTCTCGCAAAATAACCCTTTGTAGCCAGGACTACATGTGCATGTTCCAGTCACGTGATCACAAGTTGCATTGCTTTGACATCGGCACGTGTGTTGACACTTGTCGCCATAGCTGCCCGGTTTGCAAACGCTTTCACAGTATTGACCAGTCCAACCGGGGTTGCATGTACACGTACCTATCACGTGATCACAAGTTGCATTGCTTTGACATCGGCACGTGTGTTGACACTTGTGGCCATAGCTGCCCGGTTTGCAAACGCTTTCACAGTATTGACCAGTCCAACCGGGGTTGCATGTACATGTGCCTGTCACGTGATGGCATCTAGCACCGTTTTGACATGCGCATTTCCGATAGCAATGATTACCAAAGTAACCTTGTGGACAACTCTCTGCGCACGTGCTTCCTATCCAGCCTGGTTCGCATGAACAGAAGCCATTGCGCATGTCACATGTGGCATTGTTTTTACACTGGCATGCGTTGGTACATCCGGGACCCCATCGATTCACAGGACAAGCTGCAGTTAAGAGAAAATATATTAGTGCTTATTTCACAACATTCCATTCCGACGGCATTGCTTATTTTTTACTTTTAATAATAATCAACACTATCATTATCATCATCATTATTATTTATATTATAGCTATCATAGTACGCGCTCTTTGATTGGTCATCAAATGTTATTGTTTATTTCATCGGTAAACGCACGGAAATGCTAATATAAAATCAATAAACAACACATTTTCGTGCGTTCCTGGTGAAAACGGAACGCACGAAAATGTGTTGTTTATTACTTAATGATTAAGATTGTGTTCCTGAAAAATTGTGACTTGCATACTCACGTTTCGAGCAGGAATTTCCTCGGTAACCTGGCAAACAGCTACAAACATCAGGGTTGGTACAATTACCGTTAACACAGCCTTGAGAACAATTTGCTGACAGAGAAAACAAAGAAGAAGAATTATGACAATGTGAATCAGTGCCATTCTCAATTGGTAGCTTTGTATTACATATAAGTGAGACGAGTGAGCTTGCAACACTCATCCTCGATGTAAACATTGTATCTCTTGTTTACAATGCAAGATCAACGTTCGTCTTGCTCGCTTTGATACTAACACAGCCTTTCAAGATGTCGCACTAGTTCTACAGCCTGTTATCCTTCACCAGAGTTTGCAAGGTCTCTTGTGATTGGGAGAATGAAACAATGCTCATTGTTCCCTCGTTCTTGAATCAGTAAACCAATCGGATAAGATCTTTCAAAACCGTGAAGACCTACCGTCTGCTGCCATTTCGATTAAAGAGTGTCTTGATACATACCTTTTGTACATGATGTACCAGTTTGCTGCCATCCTAAACAGCACACGTAGATCTTCCTGTAGGACACCCGATACATTTCCCTGTAAACCGTCTGGTAGGTTACCCTGAAACATCATTGTCATCGACATAATCATCATCATCATCATCATCACCATCATTACACACAATACGCGCCAATTACCTTGTTCATATTTTGTTTTTAAACCTACATGGTTATCGCACTTTTAAAAGTTAACCTTGGAAAGCCTCCTTTCACTAGCCAAGGTCTGAATGACGGATATAACTGATTGTAAGAATATATAATATGATCGTTTTTGGAGTACCAGGGCCTCATGGATCATGACACAAGTTTCTATTGCATAAGCAACAGTCTCTCTTTGTGTTTTCCCTGGAGGATTTAAACCAAAAGAGTTTGGCTCTACTCGAACCTAGGGCACCCTATCTTATTTAAACAGGGCCTGAGGGTTGTAAGGCAGCCAAATGCAAGTGCATTCGGGGGCGGCGTTTATTAAAAAACACTTTATTCAGTACTACATACCGTACTTTATATTCTATCTTTTTACTAACAAACAGTAACGAATCTCAATATATAAATGTCGTGTTCGTTTTGTCTATTCAATTTATGATTTTAACTAGAGTTAATATAAACTTCTATTTCAACATCAATGTCCTCCTCGTGGTCGGAATCTTGCAGCTGCTGAGAGCAAAAAGTACAGTCACTTCGAAATAAAAAATGCTCTAAAAGAAAATATATTCCCATTGCTGGTATTTATTTCCTCAAAATGACGCCCCACCCAGATGCGGCGTCTATTCGGGGTCGGCGTCTATTCGAGTAAATACGGTATACAAATCACAAGCAATGAGTCGGTGACAAGTGGAAAACTTATTCAACAAAAATAGCAGAGAAGTTAAATAACTAATTATGATGATTAAAAAACTGATCAAAACAAAGAAATCACTAGAGATACTTACTGATTCTTGTAGCAGGTTTTGTAAACATTCCAAAACTGACCTTGATTACCAGTAGCCCGGCATTTGTACGATACTTGCTTGTTAATACTTTTCTTGGAAGACTCTCTATACCTCTGGGCAAAACTAAAACACGTGTGGAGAGGTTTCAGTGGATATAGAGTCTATTTAAGCTAGTTGTATACGTGTGGGTTAAGACATATAGAGCCCATTGAGAGTTAGTCTCCTTCGAAGCCTACCCTTTTGTCGGGCTTCCTGTCCCTCAAAAAGGGTAGGCTGCGAAGTAGACTAATTGAGAGTCCAGATTATGAAACCATACAATGTTATTTATTAACTAATTATATAGCCACATATTAATCCCAAATAGGTAAAAGCTGGATTTTTCGTTAATTTTGGAATCCTGTCCAATTAAGAAATTAATTGGACAGGTTTTCAATTGGGTTTTTGTTAAAAGCTGTGGTTGGCTTTTACCTATTTGGGATCAATATGTGGCTATATAATTAATAGGTAATAAGACTCCATGCTGTCCAATTAAGAAATAATTAGACTCGAAAAATTCCTCTGACTGCCAAATTGGACTCGGCCACGGCCTCGTCCAATTTTTGGCAGTCCTCGGAATTTTCCTCGTCCAATTATTTCTTAATTGGACAGCATGGAGTCCTATTACATATAATAACTGGAAAATTGTTGGGCTATATATCTCAAGAAACAAATATCCGTTTGCCTTTGGATTGTTGTATTATAAACACACTTAAACAGCGGTTTTTACAGCGTGACCATTCCATTAATCAATCAACTTTATTTCACGATTTTAATGGTCTTAATTTATTCGTTGTAAGTTTAAGTTTTACCTTTGTTGTTTGGTGCAGACATTGACTCCATTCGGCTGAAGACTTGCTGAGGCTCGTGCATTAAGTGCTACAATACACAGGAAATAATATATGTCTGTTGGTTTCATTATGGCTTGTTTTTCTTTAGGATAATTCGTGTGTTTATGTAGGTGAATTTCTGATGTGAAGGCCTAGGAATTTCATCAGTACACATGCGATTTCTTTGGCAATGTTTAACTGGCTGAGCTATCAAGCTGCTTTGTCAACTTTGAATAGGTATATGTTAATATGTAACCAAAGTGAAAGCCAAGACTATTCCATTTCCTTGATGAATGTGGACTGTTCCTTAGTCTTGTCATGGCATGTTAAAACGAGAATAAAAGATGGCAAAAAAAAAGCGAGAGCAATTCGACTGACAATCAACTGAAACGATAGAGAGAAAGTGAAGGAGAAATTCAAGAAGAGAATTAAAAAAAGAACAAAGCTAAAATATAAGAAAATCTAGGGGGTAATACTGAAAGACAAAAAAATGGGTATTTTCATAGCTTATCTGAATGTCACCGCTGTCATTAAATGATCATTCAGGAATGCACGAGTCTTGTAGTTACGCAAGTATTCTGTTAATGTTTAACAAGACTTTGATTTCCTGTTTCGACCTTTCTAAAGTGAACAGCAAAAACTAAACTGCTGAGCTCTCCTCATATTAAACGCTATGGCTGCAGGAAAATACAGAGCGTTTCTATTTGGTCTTTTCGCATATACAATGTCATTTATTGGTATAGGAAATGTTGCTGTTGGTCTACAAGGACCTACTAGTAATGTCTGTCCTAAGAGGATCAGGTAATTATTAGACATAATCTATGTTTATGGATGCAGTCTTATGGATACGACATTTCATTATTTTGTAGTTGTGCATACTTACTAGATATACCGTTTGAAATGGTTTTTGCCTGGAATTCAATACAATAGTCTTTCAGGAGCTTAATTGTTTCTCTTCATGCATAATATCATCTTGTCTCCTCTCGCAGCCGTTAGGACGTTCGTTCACTAAATATCATCTACAATGTATTGAGTTTGGTATATTATGTGAAATTCAACGTTTGATGCAGGCCAAAAGCACTTTTAAACTCACTATGAAACCTATCTTAAACGTCACATAGATCAAATATGCAATAATAACGAAATATGAAATAATTTTGGAACAATAACTTATACATTTATTCAATCCAATTCGGTATACTGACGAAGCCTAGTACAGTTTCCCTTCATGGAGTTTTGGAAATCACCAAGTCCTGCCATCTTTTATTCACGATTTATGAATATTTGGAAATCTCTAAGTCTTATTTGTCATTTGCGCAAAAGCAATGACATTACATTTGCTAGCGTGCATTAGTTTGGTAACATCTCATGATTTTTTGCAATAACTTCCGTGGGATCACGTACGGTTGATTGCGTTACTGACACGCCATTTATAGTCGATTGACAAACGTTTGTCGTCGACTGGTTTCTGGGTAAATATCAATGAACTGGCAAATGCCTTTGTGATTGGAAGAACTGACACATAATGTGTGACAAAAATTTCCAATTCACGGGAATTAAATTATGCATGTATGTGATGTTGATCTCACATCGTTTTTCATCAYTGCGGGGATACAAYGTTCAATGTTTGTCTTCGAGCTCTTAAAAAAGAGAATAAAAACAAATTGACACTATACTAGAAGGTGTTGTTATGCCTAATTTGCCAGTTCATTGATTTTTATCCAGAAACCTGTTCGGGTTGGACGCGTGCTACGAAGTCCTGTCGACGACAACCTTTTGTCAATCGAATATATACTTCAGCATCTATAGCTTGAGTCACACAATTCAATTACAATACCTGGTCCTGGTCAAGTCAACATAAGGTCTACATTTACAAATTTGTCTTGAATAGGGTATGGCACGATTTGCTGTCTTGGATATCCCCCCCCCCCCCCCCTCCCCATATAATCTATCATAAAATCTATGATTATAAATAGTACAAAATGAATAAAATAAAGATGAAGCTAATTGGAATTCTTTTCGTTATCTTCAGCATCGTTCAGTTCTACAAACAATCCTATCAATACACAAGAAAAGTTAGTTATACAACGTCATGTGGTTTTTTGGGATGGGGAAGATGCACACGTTACAGGTAGGCGTAGAGAATGTATGGATAACAGAATTTTAAATGTACATGCAAGCACATGACAAAGAGTCACGTGATGGATGTTGGAAGAATTTTGATATCAAAAGTAACTGAAGAGCTTTGGAAGAAAAACGTCTCCGTACAGTCGTACAACAAGGTTCTCTTCTGGATATAGGATGTTTCGCAAACACTTCGTATATTCAGATTAAACGAGTAGACATGGCTTTCTTTGGTCTTAYATTGCATGCCCTATTCACATGAGAGCACACAGAAATATATATAAGTCACTTTTTTGAATATTTTTGCAAAAATATGATCGCGCGCTGCAGAGGACGTAAAGTTTAATGCTCTCTCGACCTTATTTTATATGTATCCTGTGTGGGAACATTGTTCTTTGTCCTCCAATGCATCACATGTTTTAATGGTATGACTTTTTAACCMCTCTCCTAATCAAGGACAGCATATGGTGTCAAGTATCGTGAAGCGACAAGACAAGTTTACAAGATGGTTGATGAATGCTGCAAGGGATGGAAGCAAAAGGGGGACAAGTGTTCTGAAGGTAGTTTTGCAAGCGCTTTACTCGCGTTATTTTTTGTTTGTTTGTTTGCTATGGTTACTGCTCAGTGTTGTTTTTAGTCTCATTCGTAGCCTAATCTTTTGTCGGGCGTCCAAAAGAACAGGAAGCCCAACAAGAGGATTAGGCTTCGAAGGAGACAAGTTCTTGTTCTAAGATTTTCATTTTTTTCTCACCTTGTTTTTCTCCAATTTATTTTCATCAGCAATTTGTAGTCAAAAGTGTGACAAAGGAACTTGTGACAAGCCTGACTTTTGCAAGTGTRATCCTGGGTACTATGGAAAGCTGTGCGACAGAGGTAGCGTTTGAATTAAACACACAAAGGAAAAACTGAAAAAATAAAATGTTCTTTARAAATGTAAACGTGGTACTTCAAAAAGAGTTGTATAAGTCGAGATGACTTCACATCTAGTCTACTTGTCCGTGGTTTGAAATATTTGTAAAAAGGTCGCAAGCGRTCTCATAACAACCTTCGAATCATTTTATCTCTTCAGACTGCCSGCCACACAAGTGGGGCGCCCACTGCAAGCACGACTGTCTATGTAAAAACAACGCTAAATGTTCACCTCACACTGGCGACTGCACGTGTACCCCAGGGTGGGAGGGAAAGTACTGCGATAAACCATGTAATCAAGGTTACTATGGAGACAAGTGTCAAAGTGTATGCCAATGTCAAAATGGTGCTCACTGTGACGTCATTAGTGGGAATTGCACATGCGCACCAGGATATCAAGGGCTGAGGTGAGTGACACGCTGCTGACGTTTTTTATTCTTTTCTTTTCTTATTCAATAATTTACATTAATAAATTGATACCTTTTCTTCATCATTTTATTAATTATCTTTCGCACTTTTGAAGATGCGAATTCAAGTGCCCGGCAGGTGTTTATGGTCAAGACTGTGCTTTCCAGTGYGCATGTCAAAATGGTGGTGCATGTGGACACGTGAATGGCACGTGCAACTGTACTGCTGGTTGGACCGTAAGGAAATTGTGAGGAAATTCCATTTAACATTGTCCTTGTGTCAAATTCTTTCTCGTTCGCGTTACAGGGTGACATCTGCAACCAAAAGTGTCCTGAGGGTACATACGGCTACCGCTGTGCAAAGCAGTGCTTAAATTGCATGCATGGAGCTACGTGTGACCACGTGACTGGTGTCTGCGAATGTAGGCCTGGTTACACAGGAGACAGGTAAAAGCAAATCGCTCATACAAGCATCTTTTTTATCTTTTTACATAACTGTAAAAAATACAAGCTGCTATTCCATGTCAACTTCGCGTTAGTGTGCATGAAAAGATGAAAATCTTTGCAAGGAAGCGAGGTTAACGCAAGCTACTGATCACGTGAGTGTTGAGATCTTTTTTTAAATATTTCTAGATGTCAAGATACTTGTCAAGGAGGGTCGTATGGACTCAAATGTTTAAAGAAATGCGCATGTCAGAACAACGCAACCTGTTCACCCATCGATGGCTTCTGTAACTGTACCTCAGGGTTTACCGGCGTGCATTGCGAGAGACAATGTCCTGAGAGTGCTGGTGGTCTAGACTGTAAGGTTCAATGTAACTGTTCGCAGTGGGGGACGTGTAACCCGTTTACGGGTGTTTGCGCGTAAGTCTCTGGATGTTTTTTTTTATCTAAAGCTAGGCATACTTAACATTAGGAAATAAATGTATGACGCACACTCTTTTCCCTTTCAGCTGTCAACCAGGGTACATCGGCAAATCATGCTCCTCGCAATGCCCTATGGGAAACTATGGCCCAGGATGCACTGGGAACTGTACTTGTCAAAATAATGGTACATGTCATCGAGTTGATGGGTCATGTGACTGTCAACGGGGATGGACTGGGGTCGATTGTAGCAATCCTTGCCCAGCTGGTTACTATGGTAGCAACTGTCAATCAAAGTGTTTGTGTCAAAACATGGCTTCTTGTGACCCGGTGACTGGCAGATGCTCTTGTATTGGTGAATGGCAAGGCGATTTGTGTAATATTCGTAAGTAAATACTGTTGAAAATGAAGCTTGATTTATTACAAGAAAAGTATTCTTCAAGAATCAACTGAGGACTGTGATAGATCCATATTCAAGGCATTATGGTGCCTTCAGTAATTTAGTTTTCCCGAAGTCTTCAGTACTGTTCTTTTGTGCATGACTGTTCAACTAGAGTGGTCGCACTTAAACCGTTCAATTGTACAAACTAAATAGTTCTATTCAGTTGTATTTAGTATAAATCGTACATGCGGTAGAGTGATCGCACTTAAACCGTTCAATTGTACAAACTAAATAGTTCTATTCAGTTGTATTTAGTATAAATCGTACATGCGGTAGAGTGATCGCACTTAAACCGTTCAATTGTACAAACTAAATAGTTCTATTCAGTTGTATTTAGTATAAATCGT